GTATGTGTTGGCTGTGGTTTGAGGAAGCGGGACTCAATCACTGGGTGTTTTTGGTAGACATTCGTGTGTGATCTGATGATGACGATGATGTGATTTTTTGATTTCAAAATATCACGCTTACACACATTACCACATGCTCGTGGCTTATAGGTGTTCTTTGTGCACCTATTTGCACAACAGAGCAAGCGAGCGAGCAAGTGAACGGGAGTGTGTATGAGTGTGTGTGTGTGTGTTTGCTGATGGAAAAACAACACTTCTCCCAGCCATCCGCCCTACTGCCACATGTGGCCGTGTGTGAATGTGCGGAGCTTGGTTTGCGCTATTTGTCTAGCTGGGGAGTTCATAAAGGCAAATATCAAAACGGCGGGAAAAGTAAATTGTTCGCGTCTACTCATTCTCGAGTCTTCATTTTAATAAAACATGAATTACCTGAAGTGTTTATGCTGTTCTGTTGTTGTTGTTGTTGCTATTGGTGGTGTGTTGTTCTTGTTCACCATTGAACTATGAATGTGTAATGGATTTTGAATGAAATTGGTAATTTAAAGGGCACAGTGGGAGAACGGGCACGGGAATCTAAATTGGAAACGTTTCGAAACGAAAATAGTATTTGTCGTGGAAAAATGTGGTTTAGAATCTTGAAAAAAAAAAAATGCAAAAAATTTGTGTGTATGCGGGACTCGATTTAGATTATTTTTATTACGTCCATAGAGTGTTTTGAAGATATACGAACCGAATGACAAACCTTATGTGTTGTAAATGTACTATTCAAGTGAAATGACTTCTTCAGATTGTTAGTTATACCCTACATGTGATATGGCTATAGAGGGTATATATTATTTGATACAGCCAAAGCGTGCTTCCTCGAAATAACGGTTTCAGACCCTAGGTCTCTTTGGACTAAATCCGTTTCATGAGATTTGGAGCCGATCTAGCAAGGTTCGTCTGTCGTTCGTCTGTATCCGATTTGGTCCAAACTTGGTACGAGGTAATATTATTGTCAAACATAGATCGAGTTCGAAGATGGACAATATCGGTCCATTTCTTCTGATACATCCCCCACAAAAGGTGCACATTTTCAAAGAAAATTATTTACTGTACAGAAAGAGAGAGGATAATCCGATTTTGCTCCAACTTTACAAATCCTAATACTTGCATCAATGCTAGGTCAGGTGCGAAAATTGACAATAACGGTCCATATATATATATATATATATATATATATATATATATATATATATATATATATATATATATATATATATATATATATATATATATATATATATCCTTCGGAACCCACTCCGTAGAGGGTCAACAATTTGAATAATCATAACAGCAGTCAAAATATATTTAAATATTCGAACATTGGCTGAAGGAATACATCTGTCGTCTTGTTTAATAGGAAAACTACTAAAGGAGAAAGAACGGAAAGCTAGTGAAAATTATAAAAATAAATGACAGTCCTTCAAAATCAACATCCATCCAGCCATTCATAAGCTGGCATTGCTGCTGCTATTTTCTACACGAACAAAATGTTTGTTTCTGAAATTTCTTAGAAACTTGCCTACAATTACAGAGAAATGACTTTACATATCTTCTCAATTAAAAGGAAATGTTGGTTGAGGGAAGCTATGACAAATATGGGGAATGGCCTAATCGAACCGCTCAACTTTTATCCTATGCTCTCTTGTCTGGAAATGTATCTACATAATATTGTGACGATGATTGGTCGTCACTTGATTAAATTTCCATTCGAAATCCCTTTACTTTCTATTTTTTTGAAGGTCATCTGCAAAATTCAATACTAAGTTAGTGTTCATAGATTAATTTGTATCTCTTTCAAGGGCCCTATAACTTTCCTCAGCTCAAAATTCAAATTCAACTCAAAAAATTCATCGAATAAATTGCCGTTTATTTTTAAGTTCTTCGTGAGATTTTTTTTTTGGCAGGTTATGCTTTTCTTTTTATTTCATATCGTTTTTTGTTGTTGTCGATTTCTTATTCTCGTAGAGCAAAACTTAAATGAAACATAAGTACTTTTTCTTGGCAATGTTTACTACCGGAACAAACTAACTGAATGTGTATGCGTGTGTGTGTGTGACTGTTTGCACACATATCTATGAAACTGTCAGGATACCCGATATTAGAGTGTTTTCGAATTTAAGAGAGCAACATTTTTTCAAAAATTTTGGGCTCTTCAAAACTATTACAATTCAGCTTATGGTGAGATTACATAAAATGCTCTTTTGACAGATTTAATTTATCGCCAGGCTTCTTCCTAAAAGAACAAAGGAGCTTTAGATTGACGTTTTTCTATTTTGGCTCATAATTTATACTTGTTAAGCCCACGCTCCTTTGTTCTTCTATGAAGAAGCTAATCGATGACATGAACCAGAACAAAAAGGCGTTTTATGTATTCTCAGCTTTAGGCTTTTAACACTGAATTCCATTGCATCCATACATTCAGTGTCATAGAACCTTACAATAATCGTTCGGTGCCCTGAGGCCCCTGTTGTTGCTCCAAATGACTTCAGAAATGTCCCTAAGACCTCATTCGGAGTTTTCGGTCATCATCTCTTGATTGAACCCATAAATGTTACACCCTATTGTGTCAGGGTATACATCAATGGATGCTCAAACTTGTTGTCTATACATTCATAGACACATGTATGTATGTGTGAGTGAGCTACCTCAATTTAAAGCAACTGCTATGCTAGACGCCGACTAAACTTTGATCGTTAAATTATATATCGTTATAACAGAAAAACTTCTGCTACCTTCTGTGCCAAACCTGCAGGAGGGAGGAGCTGCCTTTGAACGAAGGTTCGACGGAGCAAAATAAGTTTTGAAAATTGAAATTAAAGTATAGATACTATTACAAGAAATGCCAAGGAAATTACATGGTTGGCCAGAATCAATAAGAAAAAATGAAAACATTTGAAGGATCACTTCAAACTGCTTCAGGCCAAGGAGCTAAGGTGGCTGTTGTGGATTGATGAATTTCATGGAATTTGACTTGGGAAGTTCCAATAAAGAGTTTATTTTTGTTCGTTTCTAGAATTGGCCATAAACATTTTGGAGTATTTTTTTCAAATTTTTTTGCCAAGACTTCAGTTTCGAAGGTTGGAAGTCAGCGATGTCGGGCGTCGCTTTTTGTTCTTTTCTAGAATCGGCCATGAACATTTTAACAACGATGCCGGGAAAATTGATATTTAAAATAACACGAACTTTGAACACCTTAGATCGATTTTTTTCTAATTCGAAATAATTATAAAAAATTGATAATTCGATGAACGCTAGAGTCAAAACGAATAAAGATATGAGGCTTAAATTTTGCACAGATCAGTTTTTTGCCTGCAGACAAGTCAAGAACGAAGATAGGCTATATCAGTCCAGGATATCGTATAGCCCCCATATACCGGTTCCCCCAATATTCGGTATTTTGATGATTGTAAGCAAATCAGTGGAGTTGTCTGAAAATATACAAAAGGAGTTCCTTCAGAGTACTTTACCCCCTGGAAGAGAAATGTCTATCCACGGTATCGTATAGCCCACATACATCGGTCCCCCCTGATATTAGATATTTTGACGATTTTAGGGAGTTGTTTCAAATTTCGTATTTGGAATTCGTAATGGGAACTACAGTCTATGCCAGAAATTTTTTTATGCAGGTCCAGGTCTTCGCATAGGCCCCATATATTAGTTCCTCCATTGTTCACCGGATTTTTTTAAGTCTCTTATTTGAATATTGTAATAGCTTATGACAAAAGTTGTCTATGCAGGTCCACGCCTTCGTATAGACCCCAATATAACGGCTATATTCGGTATATTTAAGATTTTAACAGAATTAGTAATGAATTTTTTTTTAAAGTCTAAATTCGTTTCAAATTGTGGAAGGTATGACAGTTTGGTGCGGCCGAACTTACTGCTTGTTTAGTTTTTATCAATGACTACATGGCAAATGATTTATCATAATATTAGGCCTTTATGTAGGACTTAATGTACAGCTCCATTGATTTATTTTCAACCTTTCCCAATTCTGAAGGAGATTTACAACGCACTTCACTTTACATCTCTCCAATTCTAGAGTCAAAATATAGTTCTATGAAGCTATTGTTATCTCTCCTGCAAAAGGACACATTGTCCTAACAAGCCACCTTTCTTGGAATTGATTTGTGCCCGGCAAATATAGGCTAGTGATAATCCGGCCCACATTCATCCAACAATGGCGGGGTGAATGACACAAAAAATGTTATTGCTCCGCCAAACGAGACCAGACAATAAAATCATTTTCTTTTCTGCTCCAGTGAAATGAAAATAATTCTTGGAATTCTCGTTTTGGATACTTTGCATTTCGGCTGGGCTAGTCTCGGAGAAAAAAAATGCGATTTTTCCCAAAGAATTTTTAATTAATGCTTCTCGTTTGTAAAATGGAAATTTGGGAAATCTTTTTTGATGGCAAAATCTAATGAATTAAGCCCAACTTGCCGAAATTGAGTGCTAAGAAACAAAAGGCTTTTGGTACAACAATAACAACAACAAAAAAATAACAGATGTGATGACAGGAGCATTTAAAAATGTTCCTTTACAGCACCCAGAGAAAAGACGACCCAGCTTAGCGCAACAACAACAATAGCAGAAGCAACAAAACTCATGAAAAGGATCAAAAGGAATTCTTAAAAAGCAACAGTAGCAAAAGGATTTAAACGTTTTGGGGGTAGGGGGACCAATTGACTAAATTTGAGACAATGCCGCCAAAAAATGTCCTGAAAAAAGGAAAAGCTAAACAAACACACACATACACCCATACACAAATATAAATAATCAACATAAAGAGGGAAAAGGAACAGAGAACATTGCGAGCGAACAATTAGAAAACAAGCAGGGGGTGCTTTAAGGAAAGGGTTGTTTAGCTTGTGTCAAAAACTTGTAAATTGTAAAATACGTCTTAGACATCGGGAACATTGAGAGAAGTCCTGCTCTAAATTAAATGTCGCCGGCGAAAGCACTGGCAAATTTTGCATAGATATATGTGTTGTAGTCCAGTTTCCCCTCTCCACCCCCACAAAATATCCTCTCAAAACAATTTATATTTGACTATGCCATAGATCATCTTTGAAATTGCCAAACACCAACAACAATCGCAGAGACAACAACAGAAAAAAACACACACACACACGCATACGAATACCCCCAACAACAATAACAAAACATGAAATTATTTTTTACAGGATATGAAGGAAAATTATGAAAATGCTTAGGAAAATACAAACATCCGTGATTTGCATATGAATGCAGACCAACAAAAGGGGCGGAGGGCCAAACAGCGGATGTTAATAACAAATAACCAAAATAAATAAACAAACAAACGAAAGATAAACAAATAAACCAAAAAAGTTGAATACCATTCTAAAACAGCAGCAACAACAACAACAACAACAAGTGGATGATGCCAACAACACCAACTAACTAATAAAAGTATTGCAAATAATTCATATATCCGGTTTTGTATAACGGAAACGGATATAACTGTTCAAGTTCGGACGTGTGCAAGTTACACAATTACATCGACACGAAGCACACACACACACACACAAACACAGACTGACACACTTGGCACGCCCACACACGTACATAACATTAGCAAAGGTGTAAACGGTGTAACTGGTTACAGTGCCAACACAACAGCTACACCAACAACCTGAGTAGCAACTCCTCTTACAAGGAAACAGGACAGGACAGTGTTGTACAGCGAAAACATCTCCCAGCAGCTGTGGGAACGGAAATGCATACAAAGTGCCGCATTTAACAATGGAAATCGATGTAAATCTCCATAAGCCACCAAACACCATAGAACTCAAGACCATCTCGGCCGGCAGCTACAGCTATGGCCAGGGTCACGGTGGCACCAGTCGCAACAACGGCAGCAATAACAACAACAGTCATTCCTTCAACAATAATAACGGGCAGAACCACCAGCAGGCTGGACTGCTACGCAGTGTCCCGCAAACACCACCATTAACATCAGATCCTGCTGTAACTCCCGGCTGTTGTGGTATTCTCTCACGTCTTTTGTGCTCCTCCAGCAGCAATTGCGGCAAGACGGCTACATCCAGTGCTGACTTCAACACAATTCCATTCAATGGCACAGAAGCCCTCTATGGCGGCATTGGCAGCAGTGGGGGTGGTGCCACCACCCAGCAACCTTATCCACTCTATGCCAATCTTTTGAAGAAGGGCCAGCAGCATCGTCGCACTCCGCAAGAAATCTATTTTGAGAGTCGTGGCAAATCCTGTAAGAAGCTATTGAAATTCAACGGTAGCTCCAATAAGGTAAGTGCAACACCACCAACAACAATAAGAGTACTACCAAAGAATGGGAGTGGAAAAAAAGATCTTCCCGACCGCACAACTAAAACGTTTTGTATGCTCAAAGCTTAGAAATCGATGAATAGATTTCCAGTTGGGGATAAAAGTTGTTTTTGTTTGTTTGGATATTATACGGGGGCTATACAATGGGATATTATCTTCCATTGTATGGAGGACGAGGAGGAGGAGAAGCAAGAGGAGCCTATTCACTAAGATACATACAAACACACATACAATATATACCAGTTTGTTGAAAATAAACATCATTTCCGTGAACTGTATTGCCCATAGAGTTTGTCAGGAACGGAGTTTGGATACGAAGTAGATTTTGAATTGAAAATAATCGGAACTGAAATCTGATATTTTTGCAGATTTATTTCCAATTTTATTTGGAGATATTGAAATGTTTTCTCATGTGTTGTCATGACTGGATTGACAAAAAATGTCCTGAAATCGATTGTGTTCTAAAGGCACCAAAGCCCACTTGGTCCTAAACAAAAATCTTTTCTTTCTTGGAGAAAGTACCAGGAGGAGGTACCTTTCTATATATTGCTATACCCTGCACAGTTATTTTGTCATTTCTTTTGTAGCTCCTCGAAATAAGACGTTAGATCCTATCATATATTCTCGATTAGCATAAAATTATAAATCGATTTGGCAAGGACCCCCTGTCCGAAGGTCCGCATATATGCCTACAATTTTGTACATATACAGGTCACGTAGGTCCAGGTACAATCCGATGATTTAAGCCAAATTTTCTAACGATATTGTTTAAAATTCGATATTTCGATTTCGTTTTGGATTGGCTTCTACCTTCAGTCGCTGAACTTTGTCTATACAGGCCCACCGTAGCCCCTTTATAACAGTAACATCACATATCCAGTATTTTCTGGGATTTAACGACATTTTTCGCGAAATTGTTTCAAATGTAACATTTGAAACTCGCAATAAATTACATTGCCTATAGCAGAAAATTATCTGTGAAGGTTCACGTTTTGATATATTTTACGAGTTTCTGGTATTTTGAAGGCTTTAAGAGCATTCTCCAACTAATTTCACTTCGTTTGCAGTTAAAAATTGAATAATATGGAAGTTATTAGAACATTGAATTTCGATTCCTTTATTTTAAAAGATTCTCTTTACCTCTTGGTGGAGCGTATTAAAAGTTCGCCACGGTCGAACGTGAAGCTTTTTTACTCGTTATCATAGTGTTACAATCCCAACGGCGGGATATTTTTCTTGAATGAAGAGCAATCAAATTATTATGCAATCGATAATCTCAACTATTTTAATGTACCCCCATCTAACTCTTTAATTTTGTTGAAGAATACACTCAAAAAATTTGTTCCATAAATATAAGAGAGAGAGAGGGAGAGAGAGAGAGAGAGGGAAAGTAAAAATATCAAGAATAATTGAAAATTCTTCAAAATCAATATATCAGAAGGTGGCAATCATGATATCACATTTTACTCAGACAAATTACCTAGTAAAAGTGGTAAAAGAGAACATCTATATACAGGGTGAGATAAAAAAAACTGCAGCAAGATCAAACGCCATAATTTTTTAATTTTTTTTTTAATTTTATTGAATGAAAGCAAAAATGTCGGAAATAGCAACTAATTTTTGAATAAGTTTAGATTTGTTCCAATTGGTCACCTTCGGCACGATGGTCTTCAAACGGTCAATGAAACCGTCACACGCTGCCCTAATGTTGTTCTGCGGTAATTTGGTCCATTCCCAGCGAAGGGCTTGTTTGAGGTGATCGACACTTTGGTATTTTTTAGTGCAAACCTTACTTTCCAAAATACTCCAGACACATTAGTCCAACGTATTGGTATCCGGAGATTTTGGTGGCCATTGTGCGCTGGAAATAAAGCGAGGAACCTCATTTTGTAACCATTCTTGGGTGGCGCTGAGTGTGTTGGAGCTGAGTCCTGTTTGAATGTCCAAGGTCTGCGCAAAAATGATTGTGTGCCTAAGGCTTTAATACACCCTCCAGAATATTCGGCATTAATACGAGCGGAGAGCGACCATCGGCTGTTATGAGGGAATACATCTGTCGGAAAAACCTTTTTAACTTGTTAATATTAAAAAAACTTCCATGACATTATCTTAAATATATCCAAATAAGAGATCACATTATTAACCAGAACACAACTGCATTGTCCAGTGGTTACAACTGGCCCATAACTTCCACCGAAGAAATCCAAAACTAATTTCTTGCTGGCAATTAAAAGTTCACCATCCAATTTGTGCAACATCTGCAATTCTCGAAGTCTAACCACTTTTGTCGAGCGTAACCACAACATCTGCCAGCCGTAAAAGTTTTCTTTGCCATCAATCCCCCGCACAGCCAGGCCAACAGTCCGACGGATGGACGGACGGACCGACGGACAGATGGCTATTCCAATGTTTGAGAATGTCTTACTTAACATCCTCATTATACACTTCCACTGTCCTCCCTGTGGCAGTGGAGGGCACAACAATTCCATTTGAGTGCTGCATGACCATCTAAACTGGCAAATTGTGCCACTTCGGATTTAAAGTGAGTCATCCAGGGAGGTAAAGGGGACATTTTGGCAACCCAACCACCAGCAGCAGTGGAAGTCAAACCAAAAAACCATGGTCTTTGCATCAGGATAATGCATTAGATTCTGATTATATTATGACGACAACAAATGAAGACAACGAGAGCGGGGGTGTGGGAGTGGGAGTGGGAGAGAGAGCGTGTTATTGTTAGGCAAACATCATAGATGCTACTTAGGAGCATACACACACACACACAAAGAGTGATATACTCGGAGTATGCATGTAACTTGTTGTTTTTCTTGTAACAATACTTGTTGTAAATAAAAACGAAGAAAAAAAAAATCATGATTTCTATCAAAAGGATGTTTAAGCATCCTCCCTCTTTATCCTTATTGTCCTACTTAACCGCACGAACAATGCACAACTTGGATGTGGAGCAGAAGAATGTTTATTTTAATGATGACTTGGCACAAAAATTGGAGTCAGCCAGCCAGCCAGCCAGCCAGGCATTCATCCTGCCGCTGTAAACCCACCCACTCACACACACACATGCCTTCACATCAACTTGGAATCATTCAAATTAAAAAGGAAATACTTAAACTATGTACTTATACAATTACATGCCTGTATAACCCTCTCCACATACATGATATGATGTGTGTGGGTGTGCGTCTCTAAATAAAGAAAAGGAAAGAAAAGAAATGAAAGATGAATGAAAAGCTCATATATAGATGTTAACATATGCAAAATCTAAAGATTTCCTTGATGTCTTTAAATGGGGATGATGTCTGCGGGGGGTAGTTTACATCCACATCAGATCTATCTCATCTCCACATCAAATAGAAATATTGCGATGTGCCGGGTTTAAAAGAAATCGGATGCTTATTTCAAGTTTTATGAGCTTCATGGTTATTCAAAATTATGACCCGTTGTCGGGGAGGTACCACAAGTAGTGGTCCGTTACATCTGTTCTTTATACCAGATATTGTGTTAATGTAAATATCAAGATGTGCGGAATTCGAAGACCATCGGACTCAAATTTCACATATTATAAAAGTTATAATTGTTCCAAATAAAGATATTTGGATTTTTGTTTCGTGTTTCATAGGAAATATAAATGTTAAAAATTTTGAAGAGTGGTCCGACCTATTTTATCTATATACCAGACCATGAGATTTTAAGACAATTGGACTCTTATTTCACATTTTATAAGCGTTAAAATTATTCAAAATTTTGACCCTTTGTGAAGGAGATACTAGAAGGAGTCAATTTATATTGTCCATTTTCACACCTAACTTAGCACATATTAGGATTTTTAAAGATTGAACAAAATCGGATGATTCTTTCTTGTTCTGTGATGTAAATAATTTTCTGTCAACATTTTGATCTTTTCTGGGGAAGGTACCAGAAGGAGTGGATCGATATTGTCCATCTCCGAACTCGATCTAAGTTTGATAATAATATTATGATGTACCAAGTTTGGACCAAATGGGATACTCTCTTTGAGGGTTATCGTGCGCACCAGCCAGCAGACAGACGAACGGACGGACGGTAGATCGACTTTAAATGTCCTGAAACGGATTTGGTCCAAAGAGACCTAGGGTCTAAAAAAGTTATTTCGATGAGGCACGTTTTGATCATATCAAATGATATATACCCTCTCTAGCCATATGGCTGAGCGTGTACAAAACGAAGTCGATCCGCACTACTATTTATAGATTTTTTTTAACTGACAAATAAGTGCATAATTTTATTTTTCAAGTCAAAATAAAGTTATAAGGAATGCATTCAAATAATTAGATTTTTAGCGACTTTTGGAGCCATGTCTCATAAACCCCATTCTCAGTTGGCCAAACAGCTAAAGAATTATTTCACAGAAAAGGATGACACTTTTATTTTCAAAACTGCTCGGTGGAATTAAAGAGGCAGGAGGAGATATAAAAACAATGCTGCCCACCTGTGAATTCTGGGCTTGAGAAGGAGATCAATCATCGAGTGAAGTGAGCCAGAGGTGTTAGTCGTTGGAAATGAGAATGAAAAAAAAAAAAACAAAAAAAAGCTGACATTTATTTCTTTGGCAAGATGGGTGTCATGTTGCAACATGCCACTTAAAGTTGCAAGTTGAATACCTTTGTTTGTCTTTGTTATTGTTTTACTTTTTTTTTTTGCTTTACGGAGACAAATCTCTGCTTAAGCGAAGTGCCGAAGAAAGTGTTCTGTTATTGCAATTTCAGCTGTTGCTGCCATGGATGCTGTTGCATTTGTCTGCTAAGCATTTATGTCCTGCCTGACTGGCAGGGTGGCGCAGAGAGTGGGCGCTCTGAAGTGCAGCATTAAAAGGCGAATAATGGAATGCTGCTGAAATATAAATGCAAATATTTTTTAATATTCATTCAAAAGATCTGACTCGACTCTCCCTCCGCGACGCACTTTTG